AGCACTTGAGCCACACAGCTGGGGCACAGCACCAGTAGGTGAGTCTGGCCTCAAACTTGTGACCCTCCTGCCTCAGCCTTCCAAATGTTGGGGTCACAGCTGTGTAACACCACGCCCAGCTCCTACCCAGGGTCTGGACTACCATGGGTGGGCTGCAATGGGACAAGAGGGATGATTTGGCCACGAGCTCCAGAAAGCATGCGTTGTTTGTCCACGTGCAGATGGACTCCCTCTTGGTTCTCCCGGGAGGGTCTCAGTCCCACAGGTTAGCAGGTTTTGTGCTGTCCCATTTAGAGGGCACGTGACTAAGGCGTGACCCATCAGCCTCAGGCTGATCACATTACCTTGGGCCCTCACGATGGGTTCAAGGCTGGATGTGTTGGCCCAGTGAGGCTCAGTTCCAGGACTTGAGTGGGGTGGCTTAGATAAGAGATGATCTTCCTGACTCGGAACTTTGGAGATGTTTGCTTGGAACCCCAAAGGGGACTAGGGGAGCAAAGCAGAGATCAGCATATCCTGTAACACTGAGAACCTGGATCAAGCTATACCTGAAGCTGGACATATCTAGCCTTTCCAGGTTTAAGAACCAATTTCTTTTCACCCGTCAGTTTGAGTTAAGCTTTCTGGCACTTACCTAAAAGACCTGGCTAATGACAGGAAGAAGAGAAAGAGAAAACAGAGGAAAGGGAAGTGGAGAGTGCTCGGGTCTGAGTTGGGAGAGAAGTATCGGTGAAGCAGATTGGTTTGGCAGAGGTTCGGTAACATTTTATGAATGATGAGGTCGGATACTGCATATGAGGCTGTTTGCATTATTGCAACATATTCTTCTTGCACCATCAGCGTAGTCTACTGGGGACAAGAATGTGTTGTGCGGCAGGCCGCACTCCTGACTCAGATGATGTGGTGTGAGACGGAGCCCAGCTGTGAAAGCAGGACGTGGACTGATGTGGCCTCCACGGGACAGGGACCCTGCGTGGGGGAGCTGGGTGTCTCACCTGGCAGGGCCAGGGCCTGGGCCAGGCCAGCTCCAGGGCCTTCTCTACCTCAAGGGGGCCCGAAGCCCCTTAGACACCCGGATACTTCTCTGCGCTCTGGGACGCTGCCACCCTGAAGGTGGCTTCTATGTGGCCCCTCTGCAGACAGCACACTTGTGTCCTATTATGCTTGTTGGTGACCAGAGGCAGCAGACACATCTGTGCCATTTCTCTGGCCCAGGCATCTGCCACAGGGCGTGGTCCATAAAAAGTACTCAAAAAACATGACTGAAGGAATAAAGCAGTGTTTTCAGTTGCTTATGCACTGCAGGCTGTGGGGTGAGGCGCTACAGGAAGCTCCCCCTCCATCCACAAATACTCAAATCCTGGATGCAGCATAACCATTTGAAAGAGCACAGAGCCAAGGTCAGAAACAAGAAAAGGAATGGAGGTGGCTGAAATCCCCACAGAGAGCTGGCATGGGGAATTCAGGGACTCCTGGCTCTTCAGGGGGCTCCTGGGGATCACAGCTCTGCTAAAGATGGGCTCACAGTCAAAGCTGACAAAGCGCACCAGGAACTTGCTGTGACGACAGAAACAGCAGGCGTAAAACATGTAGAAAACTCAGGAATTACAGCAAGCCCAGAGCGACAGCAGGATAACTAAGTGTCCCTCCGGATGTGCAGGGGAGAGACCTCTCGCGGGCCATGCTCAGGTTCCTTGTAGAAAATGTCAGTGTTTGCTAGAACCTAGCTACCTCCCTACCCTATGGCAGTGCTCTGTAATGAGTGGCTATTCTGTGTTGTCCAGGGAATAATGACAAGAAGAAAGTCTGATTCATCTTTTTCACATATATATATTTTTTTGTTTTGGTTTGGTTTGGTTTTGGTTTTGTTTTGTTTTTTGGTACCGAGGATCAAACTCGGGACGTTGCGCTTGCAAGGCAGGTGGCGAAACCACTGAGCTAAATCCCCGGCCCCTTTCCTATATATTTTTGATCCTTGGTTGGTTGAATCCATGGATGTGGAACCCATGGATTCGGAGGATGTGGTGTATGTTTAAAAGGTAAAGAAATAAAGGATTAGACAGCACCTGTAACATAAGGGCTGAGCAGGATGAAAGAGAGCTAAATCGAAGTCATAGAAAGGAACGATCAAGTGGCTCTGAGATGTCATTGAGGGAAGTGGCAGGACACTGAGAGTTGGGGAGTCTGCACCCTAGTTCTGCTGTGTTTGGAGTTCGTGACTTTACTAAAGCCATCCCCACCCTGGACTCTGCCTCCTTGCCTGAAAAGTGCCCACACAATGCCGGCCTTGCAGTGTTATAATAACCAGCACCAGAACGAGATGTGGGAAAAGTGTGAGCCGGGTCCCAACAAATGCTTTCCATCTGTCCCTCCCGGGGACAGCTCAGTCCTCCCACAACTGCAGTCCACCCAGAGGCCCCAGCATGCTGTCACGCAGGCGGTGGGGGTAGCTCTAGGGCACAGAGGGAGGGATGACCCACTCAACACGCAGGGACATCTGAGTGCCTGGGTCTCAAAATGCAGCTCCCCACCCCTCCCCAGCCTGTGCCATGTCCTGCTGATGTTGTGGGCTGTGAGAATCCCTGGCCAGACCCGCCCTGGAGTCACTGAGAGTCTTGCCCTAGTGACCTCCTTGCTGTCCCCTCCTAGCAAGTAGCATCCTGTCCAGCCTAGATCATCTCATCTGTGACAGCCAGGTAGTGGCTCTTCTCTTAGGCATCCCGCTGGGTACACAGCTGGTGCTCAATGGATGCCATGGTTATTCTGTCTCCCCCGCCTTTCCTTTCTTCAGAGAGCAACAGCTCTGGGCAAGTCATCCCATAAGCCACAGGAAGCTGGGCAGAGAAACAAGAGCCAGGCCCATCTGCATCCTTACTGGGTGGCTTTCATACAGTGTCACTCATTGCCTGGTCTTCAGTCTCATGTACTAGGCAGCTCCTCTGGGGCCTCTGCTATAGCCATGTCCTCCTCTTCCTTAAAATGGAACCCTGATTTCATTTGGGGCTGGCCACTGTGATGAGGCTCTCTTGCAGGTGGGGGAAGTCATGGGACACAGCTCTGGCCAGTGACATAGAGATATGAATTCTGTTGGGGACTACAAAGGTAAAGCTTCCTCAGAGAAAATCTTCCCCACGCTCAGCTGTCCATCTTCCTTGTACCTGGACAGCAGATAACAAGGCCTGGAGGTGCTGCAGCCACATTGTAACCATGAATCGAAAACAACGAAATCTACTTTTTCTACTGCAAAGGGTTACCCCAGTACTTATAGATGCTCTTGCATTAATGCAGTAAAGGACTAATTGTGACTTTAAGGCAAAAGGAAGAAGAGACCCTTCATTTCTCCTTTTGGGAAAAGTTCCAAGACTGGACACGGCCTCAAGCCAACCAGCCCTGCTCTTTTGCGGATCAGCTATCCAAACAGGAAGTGACTATCCAAACATTTGGAGCGGCAGGATGCTGGCTGGAGTCAGCCTCTGTGGAGGTACTCCGCCGGCCTGTGACTTCTGTCCCAGCTCTGAAGTCCAGGATGGGGTCCCTCCTCGAGGCCACAGGTTCAAAGCCGCCCCTTCTCACCGCCCCACCTCTGGTCTGGGCCAAACCACCTTCCACTCAGACTGGGGGTGACTGCTGCCCTCACCGGGCTCCTCCTGGCTGTCTCTTGCTCTTTCCTTCCTCCTGCCTCGCTCACAGCTGGGGCCGGGGCAATTCTGGACTGAAATGCAAGTCGCTGCCATCACTCTTTGCTTAAGACGTTCCCAAGGCTTCTTGTTGGGGTTTTTCTGGTACCAGGGATTGAACTCGGGTCCTTGCTCTTGCGCAGCAGGCGGCGAAACCACTGAGCCAAATTCCTGGCCCGAGGCTTCTTGTTTTTAAGAGAAGACTAAAGTCCTTGAGGCCACCTTCTAGACTCAGTGGCTTGGCCTTTTCTGCCCTCTCCAGCTTGACTCCTCTAGCCTTTTTGTTTCTGGGAGGTGCCCATGCTGTTCCCATCTCCTAGCATGCGCTTCCTTTCCCGCTCTGCTGCCCACCCCACCAGGCGGAGCGCCAGGCTCAGCTCCAGCTCAGCCTTCTTCCCAGCAGCAGCCACACTGAGCTCCCCACCAGCCCCAGCACTCATCCAGCCCCCGCCACGCATCTGTCCCCATGACCATCTCCCCTGGGGAGTCACATCCTAGCTGCCAGGCCTGGCCGCTGGCCCGGACAGGACGCTGGGGAAGAGCAGGCTGCCTATGACCGACAGGGAGCTCTGCCTTCTGAGAGGCAGGAGTACCACGGGCCAGACAGGGCCTCGAAGCCCCTTGGCGCCATCTGGCAGTGGGGCCTCCCGTGTTCCAGGCAAGTTCCCACAGGGTGACTGGCCCGACGTCACACACGGGTCAGCAGCCCTGCCAGGATCTGAACCTCTGTCCCAAGTCCACCTTCCTGCCCTAGGTCATTAGAAATCTGTTTCCTCATCTGAAGAGTGTGAGCCTGGTGGAACCCACCGCGCAGGAGGGTCCTGAGGACTGAGCGACAGAAGCCACACAAGGCCCTGAGCTCAGAGCCACGCACTGCGCTCAGACGCTTTCCTACCGTCAGGTCAAGTGGAAGTGCGCATGGATGGACAGACAGGCCTTCGTGGGTGAAAGTGGGTTGAGTGGATGCATGAACGGATGGAGAGCTGAAAAGTGGAGTCTCGAATGATTTAAGAAATGGAAGAACGTGCCAGGTGTGGTGGTGCACGCCTGTAATCCCAACACTCGGGAGGCTGAGGCAGGAGGATCACTGTGAATCTGAGGCCAGGCTGGGTTATATAGTGAGTTCAAGATATAGCTAGACTCTGTTTAAAAAGAAAAGGAACGAAAAAAAATGGAAGATCGTACTAAGAAAGTGAGGAACATGCAGGCACAAGCGAGAGAACACGGGGACAGGCGGGCAGGGGCTGCACCCCCCACCCCCCCACACACACACGACTTGGGACACGCGAGCTGGTGGGTGCAGCCCCGCCGCACCCCGCTCACCTGTAGCGCCGCAGCTCTGTCTCCAGCCTCCTCCCCCAGCGCTGCAGGCCGGGCACCTGCCGAGCCAGGGCCTCTAGCTCGCGCACGCGCCGCAGGCTGCGCAGCACCGCCAGCCGGGCCTCCTCCGCGCGTCGCCGCACCTCGGCATGGCAGCGCCGCAGCCACCCCGCGCGCGCCTCTGCAGCCGCCAGCGCACCCTGCGCCCGCCGCAGCTCCCGCGCCGCCGCCTCCGGGGCGCCCGCCTGGCTCTTCCAGAGGCCGACCTGCAGGGACAGAGGGCAGGGGTGAGCGTCCCGCGCCAGCTGCTCAGCAGGGATGTAGGGCGCCCTGGGCCACCGCACCCTCAGCACATCCGGAGGCACGTTGGCCAGGAAGCCGTGCATTTTACTGCTCACTGCTTATGGGTCTGCGGTGCCAATCCCGAATGAAGCAGGGTGAGGAAAACTAAGTCACGAAGCCCATGTTCTGCTCTTTACATAACAGTGATTCTCGGCTGGGCCTGGGGGCGCACGCTTGTAATGCCAGCCTTCAGGAGGTTGAGGGAGTTCTAGAGCGGCCTGGACAACGTAGCAAGACCCTACATCCCAAAAAACCACAAAAAAGTGATTCTCAAACTTGGCGATTTCGTGGCCTGCTTCCAGCGTCCACAGCCTTCAACCTGCCGCCGTGGCTCCTTGTCCCCAAGGCCCACAGGGTGATGCACATTTCAAGCTGGCAATTGCCGCCCTCCTCCGGGTCTGTGCACCCAACTGTCTGCCCCTTGACGCTGGAGCTTTGTCTTTACAGCCTCATTCCCTGAACCTAGAACAGCCCTGACACACAGTCAGTGCCCAATAAATGCCCGAGAATGAATGAACGATCAGGGGCCATCTTCTCAGCCCGCGTCCCACACATGACTGGGGATTTCCCACCTCCATCCTTGGCTTGGCCCAATCCCATGCCACCTGCTCGTCCCCATGTGCACACGTGGCCCTGAAACCACACCTTGCTGGCCCTCTACGAAGTCCTGTATTCTCTCTGTGACCTCCCCTCCAGGTGACTGGGTTAAGGGCGGTGGGGGAGGTACTGTATAATGCTCTCCTGGTCCCCTTGTGGCTTCCGTGGAGTGGGAGCTGTTTCTTTCCTTCTTTGACCCCTGGCCCCCGGCACATGCTGGGCACAGTACTGAAGTATTTGTTGACAGATCCCAGATGCCAGAGCTGTGGCCATAGCTCCTCCAATGAATCACACCCCGGAGCAGGTCTGGCCGTGCTGGCGCTTGATGGCAAGAGACTGCCACGCTGTGATCCAACGTTGGCCACTCTGGGCGTCCCATAGTATTTGCTGAATCATAGAAGGAGCTATCGCCCCATTAGGCAGGGAGCCCCTTAAGGGTGGGGTTAGAAGGGACAAGATGACACTGAGGAGGCCGCTGGCGGTGGTGGTGGTGTGTGGAATGGTTGTCTGTGTGGACTGGAGTTTTGGCGGGTGGAATGGGTGATAAGAATAGGGGCAGGGGCAGGCACAGTGGCGCACACCTGTAATCCCAGCTACTCAGGAGGCTGAGGCAGGAGGATGGCAAATCTGAGTCCAGCCTGGGCGACTTGGCAAGACCCTGTCTTAATTAAAATAGAAAGGGCAGGTGTTGTAGCACATTAGAGGGCTCCTAAGGTCAGATCCCCAGTATGGAGGAGAGGGTACATGGGGGTGGGGATGGGGTTGGAGTGGAGTGGAATGGGGTCGGATAAGGTCAGGAAGCAAGCAGGCTGAAGTCGAGTGGGGTGGGTAGAGCTGCCCCCTATTCCCTTTCCTCCTCCGCCGCCCAGTCCAGGCTCAGCAGCCTGCGGACCAGGCGCCCGCCTCACACCCCCTGGCCTCACACCCCCTGACCCCCCACCCCGCGCACCTGCAGCGCGAGGCAGCGCGCGTCACTGCTCTGCAGCGCGGCGCGCAGGTCCTCCACCAGCTCGCGCAGGCTGCCGTTCTCCTCCTCCAGGCGCGCCACGCGCTCGCCGTCCGGGCCGCTGCCGTCCGGGCCGCCGTCGGGGCCGGGCGCGCGGGGAGGGCGGCGGCGGCGGCGGCGCGGGCGGCGCAGGCGGATCTGCGTCTCGATGTGCTCGCTGAGCGCGCCGCGGGGCAGCCGGGGCCCCTCGCGGGTGCCAAAGTAGCCGCAGAGGCGCGCGTGGAACTGGCGGAAGGTGAGCTCTGGGGGCTCGGCGCGCAACGCCAGGCGCGCCTCCTCCTCGGCATCCGTGTCCCCGTCGGCAACCACAACCCCAGAGTTCGAGTCCCTGTCGGCGGCGACATCCCCCCCTCTCGCGTCTCCCTCGGCGCCATCCCCGGCGGCGGCGCCCTCGGCGCGCAGTCCCAGCACGGCGCAGAGCGCTCGGAAGTCGGCGCGGGGCAGGCGGCCGGCGCCGCGGCAGTCCAGGTGGTGGAAAACCTCCTGCAGGTACTGGTCCAGGCCCGTGGCCAGCACCACGATCTCGTTCTCCACGCCGCGGTCCAGCCCGTAGTGGTGCGCGAGGGCGCTCAGCAGCCACTGCGTGCGCCTCGCCGGCCGCCGGTACGGGTCGCCCGCCGCGCCCTCCATGCCCAGCTCCATGGGTGCGCCTCGGCCGCTGGCAGCGGCGGCCGGGAGCTGCTCGAAAGGAGGGGCTTGGCGGCTGCGGTGTGGTCGTAGCGTCGCCGGGGCCGTGTCTGTCGCTGGGGACCACAGGGCGTGTCTGTTTAGCCCCGTTGATTTGGATGGGGCTGGGCCAGTGGATTCTTCCTCCCTGCGACCCGGGCGCAGGATTCCGCTCAGGGTTCCCGTTCCGGTGTCTGCTCTTCTCCTCCCACTCCGGGGCGGTCGGCTTTCAACTCTGTCCTGCGCGCTAGGAGCGGAGAGTTTGCCCCGAAATAGGGGCGCGCGGGGTGCGCGCCTGCAGATACGGCTGGGGAGGGCCGGGGTGCGCCCCACGCCCACGCCCATGCGCCGCCCCTCCCCGGGTCTGCAGAAAGCCCTGGAGGGTGGCCCGGCAAGCTCGCCCTCGCCGCCCTCTGCCTGTCGGTGTGGGAAAGCCTTCTCCCCAGTTAAATTCAGCGTTCCAGAGCCACTTCTCGTCCCGCCGTGGATGTGCAGAGCCCCACGTGGTAGTAACTGGAGCAGAGGCGGAGACAGACGTAGAGGGGCGAGGGGGGCAGTTCAGGACATCCCGCTGGTGAGACGTCATCTGAGATGGACCTGCTGCTCTGCTCTCCAGTGCCGCCGTGTGTGTGTGTGTGTGTGTGTGTGTGTGTGTGTGTGTGTTGGAATGCAGGGATAGGACTCCCCGGGAAGTGGTTGTACCCTCCCCCACACACCTCCACCCCCATCTTTGCAACCAAGGTTGGCGAGTTGGCAGCGAGACCTGCTGCTCTGCTCTCCAGTGTGTGTGTGTGTGTGTGTGTGTGTGTGTGTGTGTGTGTGTGTGTGTTGGAATGCAGGGATAGGACTCCCCGGGAAGTGGTTGTACCCTCCCCCACACACCTCCACCCCCATCTTTGCAACCAAGGTTGGCGAGTTGGCAGCGAGACCTGCTTCCTTCTCTGGGCTGGGGTTAGTCTAACAGGTTGCAGGTTGCCAACTTCTCTGGTGCCTTAGAACACATTTCTAAAAGGCAGAAATCCCTCCTTCTCAGGGGACTGCTACCCAATTTTCCCTTTCTTTTGCACAAGAGACAGTGTGGTGATGGCATCCACTTGTTTCCTGCGCTGGGAACGGTTATCCAGCTGCGTTATACCAAGAGGCAGACTCAGTTGTCTTTGTAAGATCCACGCAGGCTAACCTTGTGTGCGGCTCTGTCTGTGAATTTAAGTGTTAAATCCTGCCATTTGAAAAGCGATACAATTCTCTTTCCTTAAATTTTATACTTCACTTTTGCAAAACAAAACAAAAATCTCTTTCCTCTGACACGCTATCCCCGAATCAGCACTTTGTCCACTTGGTAAATTCCTGCTCATTCTTGAACACTGCCCAAGGTACACCTCCTGGGAAGGAGTTGGATGTCCTTGCCCCAAACCACTTGGTTTGTTTTTTAATTGTAAAAGTAACAGCAATCTGACAAAAAGGCTTACCCCAATTCTACTTCATGACTTCTATCCTGGACATATGTGCACCCCAGCCTGGGTGACTTAGTGAGACCGTGTCTCAAAAATAAAAATAAAAAATAGGGATAGGGATATAGCCAATGCGGAGGCCCTGGGTTCAGTCCCCAGTGTCGCCTCCCTCCCCCCAAAAAAGGAAAGGAAAGGAAGACACATGCACAAGATGTTCACTCCCTCATTGTTTGTGAGAAACTGATGCCCATCAGGATATCACCAAGAAAGGGCCAGTGAAGAAAGCAAGTTGAGGCATGTTATGTACAATGTTAATACGTACATGACAATAACAAGGGAACTGCATAAAATAATACCAATAATTTCCACAAGGACGTATGCACAGAAGTGCACAGGGAGAATGGATTCAAGAGCAGATTCTCAAGTTATTTCTGGGGCTGGAGACCTTTAGCTTTCACAGCAAAGTCTCCTTTGGGGCAAGGTGAGGCTTTTGTTTGTCCTTTCTTTTTTAAGTGGAGAATATGTTTCATTATTTTGTTTTTCAGTTCTGGGGGTCAAACCCAGAACCTTGTGCTTGCAAGGTAGGCACAGTGCCATTGAGCTAAATCCCCAGCCACTTATTTCTATATCATAAGGTTCAATTATTAAAGAAAGATTTCAACCACATAAGGTGTACAGATCAATATTTTAATATATTTATAGTCGTATAGCCATGGCTTATTTTTGAATCTAGGTTTGGAACATTTTCATCATCACGCCTATGCCAACCTTTGTATAGTTAACCCACCCACCCCTCGCCTCCCACTCTTCAGCCCTGCTAACCTCTACTTCCTGTCTCTGCAGATTCACCTGTTCTGGACACTTGGCATAACTGGAATCATACGAGGATGACCTGTTGTGGCTGGCTTTGGGGGGAGCATGATACCACTGGTTACAGGGTTTATCTGTGTTGAGGCAGGTGGTACCTCATTCCTTCCAAGGGTTAACGAACACTCCATGACCTGGACAGACCACCCTGTCTGTACCCATTCATCAGTAAGGGGCATCTGGGTTGTTTCCACTATTTCACCATTGGAAATGGTGCTGCTGTGGACGTGTTCACACAAGTTCATTTCTCTTGTGTGTATTCTTCATGGTGGAATGGCTCAGTCCTGTGGGAGTGATGGTTAACTTCTTGAAGAGCCCCCCAACTGTTTCCCAAAATGGCTGCACCATGCTCATCCCACTGGCATTATGGCCCATTTGTGTCTTGGTGCACGGAGTAACCCTGAGATTCTAGGGCCTGGACTTCAGCTCCTCCCTCCCCTGCTTTCTGCATCTCAGTCTGTGGTGCCTCCAGCCATCCTGAGGAGAACCCTGCTGTCATTGAACCCTGCGTTCGTCCACTTTCCATCACTGGACAAATACCTGAGACCATCATCTTAATAAGAGAAAAAATTTATTTACCCCAGTTTGGGAAGTTTCAGTCCATGAATGGCAGGCCCCATTGCTCATGGGTCTGCCGCAGCTCAGCATGACAGGGAGCTTGGGGTGGAGCCAGGTAGCCACTCACTTCATGTGTGGAAAGCAAATGAAAGGAGGTGGAGGGGCTGGGATCCCACTGTCCCGCAAGGGCATGACCCCAGTGACCCAAAGATCTCCCACTGGGCCGGGGATGTAGCTCAGTTGCGCCGCCCCTGCCTGGCAAGCTCAAAGTCCTGAGTTCAATCCCTGGTACTGAAATAAATAAATACATACATACCTCCCACTAAGCCCTGACACTTACAGGTTCTGCTGTACTGGGACCAAGCTGGGATGAAGCCTTTAACCCACACACATACACCACACATGCAGTTGTCAGGCTGGCTGTCCAGCATCTCCACCTCCAAACTATATCCCAAATCTGCCTCCTTCTCTCTGCTCTGCTGTGACCACCCTGGACCAAGTCCCCAGCATCCCTCACCTGTGTGATCATAGCCTCCACCCCTGAGGAATTGCCCTTGACCTCCTGTGCCTATTCTTGACAACCAGAGGGATGCTGATAGCACTTCCGTCAGACCTTCACCTTCTCTTCTCTGGACATAATTATTTGCCTCTTAGGATCTAAAGATAAAGTCCTCACTGTGGCGCCAAGGCTGAGAACACCAGCATCTGCTGTCCCGTCACAACCATTCCCTCCCCTGCCACCCTCCTACTGCCCTTCTAACCCGCTTCTGCCTCAGGGCCTTTGCACTTGCTCACCCCATAGCAACACCTCCCTCCCACCCTTCACCTCCTTCAAATCCTGTGCCCCAGTTTCACTTCCTAGTGACCTCCATCACTCAGCCCTTCTACCGACTCTATCTCCCCGCTGTGTGTTATCTGTTCCCTTGTACTAAACTGCCAGCCCAGGAGGGGAGGAACAGCATTGATTTTGTTCACTGGGACTCTGGGGAGTCCTGGCTCTGCTGAGGAACCTGACTTTATTTCATGTCTGCACTGAGAGCCGGTAGCCCAGGCAAGGATGGGACACGCACCCCTACCCCATTGCCATGCTGGTGGCTGCTATTGCTGAAGGAGTCCTTTGAACAGTAACTTTGGTAACTTTTCCGGACTGGTCAGCATTGAAAAGAAGGCTTTTCAGTATCTGGCGGGGGAGGGGAGCCTTGGCGGGGCCTCTGCTGCTCCCTGCAGCTCAGCTGGAGGAGGCGATGGTTTATAATGTGAGCTGTCAGGCCTGCCTGTTACCGGGAGCCTCTGAAATAATTCCCCTTGAATCCACAAGGGTTTTGTTTGAGGTTCAAAGTGAGCAAACTCAGCGGTCTCCTTGGGCTCCTTTGTATGAGCTGGGGGATGGGGTGTCTGCGTGGGGGAGGAGTCGAGGCCCCAGCAAAGAAATTATGATCTTAAGTCACTTTGGTATTGTTGGAGCCACTTCCAACACAGTCCGGAAAAATATTTAAAAAATCAAAACTCATCCACCATCCTGCCACCAAGAAGGGATCATAGTATATTTGGGGTATATTTATTTCCAGAATTTTCCAGGCACTGGGATGAGAAAGAAGTTTTCTGGGGCAATGGGAAATACTTTACATCTTCATTGGAGAGCTGGGTCCCATGACGATACATCTGTTAGAACACAAAGGGCAGATTTTACAGTATGTAAATCGTACCTTATGCGAAGCACAGCTTTCTTCCCACATGACCCAAGCTTTGAAAACAGCCATAATACTTCTCTGCAGCCTCCTGGGGCTGCTCCACCCTCCCTCCCTGGCTGCACTCCCCAGAGAGCACTGGGAGGTAGTTTCCAGCAAGTCTCCCTAAAACCAACACAGAGACCAGGTTGCCTTCGATCCAGAGTATTTATTACTGGGCCAAGGAGTAAGAGCACTGTATTTAATTAAAAATTAAAAGGTGCTTGCTATTAGGTGAAGATTTCTTAAATGCAACACACTAACGCACAGTCCAAAAAGAAAAATTAATAGATGGGACCTCATTAAAATTCAAAATGTTTGCACTTCAAAAGTCACTATTTAGAAAATGAAAAGACAAACAAGGTATTAGAAGAAAATATGTGCAAAGCATGCACCCAATAAAGAACTTTGTTTTCAGAATTTACAGTGAATTTACAACTGATCAAAAGGTGGGACGAAGGGCTGGGGATTTAGCCGAGTGGTTCTGCCACCTGCCTCGCAAGCGCAATGACCCGAGTTTGATTCCTGGTACCTCCCCCCAAAAAACAAGAACCAGGCATGGTAGCTCACACCTATAATCCCAGCATTCTGGAGGCTGAGGCAGGAGGATCACCAGGAGTTGGAGACCAGCCTGGGCAACCTGATGAGTTAAAAGCCAGCCTAAACTACATAGCGAGACCCTGTCTCAAAAAAAAAAAAAATGTAGGCAAAAGATAACCCTTAGCATCTACCCCAGAGAAGTGAAAATGCAGGGGAGCCTGGGGGAAGAGAGCTGAGGTCCCCAGGCAAGAGGCGCCCCCCCAACTGCCAGGGAAGCCATGTCTACCTGCAGTCACCTTTGCTCTGACCTCATCCCACGATGCCTGGGTCTTGACCTGGACACCATCTCTCTCAGGCAGTGGCACCGTATTTTGGCATGCAATAGAATCTTGCTGGTGGTCTCTCAAACTACTGATTATGGTCCAGTTATTTACTGTACAACACATCATCCCAAAGCTTAGTGATTTAAGAGAGCGATGATTTGCTGTGCTCATAAACCTGCAATGTGGGGAGGGCCACACATTGGTAACTTGTTTCCGCTCCACACAGCGTCAGGCCGGGTGGCTCAGGGATACTTGTTGTCTTATACCCTTCGGTGTCTGGTGGCTGAACCTGGGAGCTGGTGAGGGGCTTGGTCTTACCATGTGGCCATGTGAGCTCCCTCACAGCTTGGTGACTATTTCTAGAGTGAGAGACCCCCAAAAAACAAGGCAGAGAAGTACATGGAATTTGCTTGACAAGGCTTCAGAAATCGCATAATGTCACTTTCTCTATTGGCTGAGGCAGTCTTGGGTCTGCCCCAGGCTCAAGGGAAGGGGACCCGACCAGTGGGTGGATAGGAGGAGCATGGACATAGCATTGTTAAGAAGAGCTTTTGGGAAGGGACCCATTGATGTGGCCATCTTTGGGAAATATAACCCACCACTGGTTCCAAAGCCCCAGCCCTGGAGAATTAATTCTGCAGGCCTGGAGGGAAGCCAAAGAATCTTTTTTGGGGGTGGGGGGGGCTACCAGGGATCAAACTCAGGACCTTGCCCTTTCGAGGCAGGCTCCAGAACCACTGAGCTAAATCCCCAGCCCAAAGAATCTTATTTTTGATGTGTGCCATTGGCCCTTTGCCCAGGACCTGTGGCTTCTGACCCTGAGCTGAGTATGGCTGCTCAAGGACCCTTTGGAGGGAAACCAGGCTTGGGTCAGCAGGGGAGACTGGAGGAGCAGGCAGTAGCATCTGTCCCCAGTGGGGTGGCGCTGCTGGCTTTAGGGAGCTGGTTTATCTTAATAGCCTTTTTAAACTTCCAGCCCTTCCTTCCAGGAAGTTTTCAGCCCTTCCTGGTTTGTAGATAGTAACTCCTGGCGTGTAGATAGGGTGACAGTGGCAGGCCCTGCCATTTGCTGTCTTGCCTTCGCAGTTATTTTTGAGACTTCATCTCTTAGACTGATTGAAGTGGAGGCGTACTGGAGAGGCTCAGGCAGCATGTGGTACCATTCGAGAACAGGCTGTCCTTGTCCCCTGGTCTAGATGCACTGAAAGGCCTTCGACCCTAGTGCTACCACAGTTTTGCTATTTGTCTCAACGTAGGCCATGTATCAACTCAGAACATCCATTTTCTCAACAGCCAAATGTGTGTGGGTCCTCAGCTCCCATTCTGTGACCAAACTGTAGAGTGGGGACCCTCCCTCAACAGAAAACCTACCATGGCTCCCCACTGCTAGAGCCCTGCTTGCCCTTCAAGGCCTGGCTGCCCACCAGTCCAACCTCATCATCCTGTCTCTCAATTGCCACAAACCTTCACCTCTCTGGGCCTTTGTATGCACTGTTTCTCCCCCAGCCTTCACATCAGGAACAGTTTCTCTTGCTTTCACAGCCTGCCTTGGCTCTTGTCACCTTCTCTCTGAAGTTTCCCAATGTCCCCTCCTCCTGGGCCCCATGTGCTCTTCTACACACTTGTGGTCTTTCGTGAGAGCCCTTAGCTACGCTGTTGTGGCTGCCTTGATGTCCTGAATTCATTCAAAACACTTCCCTTTCATGGTCATTTTGACTTTGAGAAAGAGCCAGCAGTCACAGGGTGCTGGATGGTGAATGAGGTAGGGGAGGACACCCCGTCGTGTTTTTATGAGCCTGACTTTTGGTTGGATGACACTCTGCAGTGGCATTCATGGTATTTTTTATCACACTCAGGAAAAAGAACTTCCAGACCTGGTTCAAAAAGTGGCAAGATTGATGGGGCCAGCGTGTTCAAAGCGAGGGGGAGTTTGGTGGGGGGCTAATGGCAGTATCTCTCACTGTAATAATTCTTAATTTAAATGTTCATCTTATCTTTCCAACACACTTCACTTGCTGTGTGGCCTTGGGCTAATTGCTTCACCTAGCTGCCTGTTTCCTCATCTCGGAATTAGGACCCAGGATCTCAAAACGGAATCCTGATGATACTGTCATGGCCTCAGCAACGGGAGCATAAAATCTAACGAGGGAGGTTGGAGCCTGCGTGTGCAAAGCTTATTGTTGCTTTTGCCTTTATTAAAGAATGGAGGGAGAAGTCCGTAAATCTTTCCTCTGTTCTACGGTAACAGGCACATAATACAGATTGAATAAACGAACGAATGGGTGAAGGCAACTGGACTTTTGTACTGTTTTCTGGGTCTTGTTTTATTTTGTGTTTGGGATCAAACTGAAGGCTTCACACCTGCTGGGCAAGCGCTTTGCCACGGAGCTGTCGGTGAGCCTAAACCGACGTCCTACCTTTGGGGGAGCCCCGCCCCCTTGCTCATTGTCTCCTAGCAACTGGGACACAAAACGTCGCGACTCTTTGCGCGCGTGCGCATGCGCGGCGTCCGCAAGGGGCTGGGGAGCAGGTGCGCTGGCTTACGCCACGGTCTGCTGCCCCGCGCACCAGCTTGCAGGTACCTCTTGCGCCTTGGGATTCCCCGTTTCCACCCCGGGTCCCCAGTCTGGCATCGCTTCTTACCCCGCGTCGCCACCTCCAACCCAATCTTCCTTTCCTGCGGTACCCCGGGATTCCACAGAACTTGAGCTTGTGTCCTGAGCTCAGGACCCAGTGACGGTTCATGTCTCGCCCTACTAGACCTCACCAGGGACCCGCACGGCCCTCCCCGGCCTGGTTGGTCTTTGCCCAAATGGCAAATACCTGTCGTGCTTTGGTGCGGCTCACCTGGCCTGTGGCAGTCCTCCCTGAGCCGGTGCGCCCAGGATTCTCCGCCCTCCCCGCCCTCTCGTGATTCCCAGAGAACTCTGGCCAGGTGTTCCAGAAGCGCCCAATGCCTGACTCCTGATTCAGGGCAAGAGAAGCAGCTGGAGCAGCTGCCCTTCTCTGTGGTTCCTTCCATTTTTTGTGGGGGTTTTTTCCAGATTTCTTGAGTGCTGACTGTGCAGTGGGCAGTGAACAGACCTTGGGCAGCCCCGGGGCAAGATGAGAGAAGGGTGGGTCCTGCAAGAGGTAGAGCTCAGCTCCTGGGGACAGAGGTGACTCAGACTTTATTTTCTCCCAGCCTGACCTGCACTCTGGAGCATGTCTCTACACGCCTGGGATTGGGAGGACGAGGACAGCGAAAGCAACGGGCTGGCCTCCTCCTGCCCTAGCTTTTACCGCCTTGAGTCTGATGCGGACAACTATCTGAGGGCTCCGGGCCAGGAGTCTGACTTCGAGAACCCCTATAGCAGTATTGAGTCCTTCGACGCCAGCACCTTCAACTCCGACGTGCCCCAGGTCGTCCCCTGCGATCTCATTATCTCCCTGGCCCTCCCTGTGAATACAGGTAGGCACTAAAGGAGATTCTAGTGCCCTCACAGAAAGGGGGTACACTGCTGACCTCTTAGACGTGTAGAGCATATATGCCACGCATCTTTTCTTTCCCTCCTCCCATCCTGGAGGTCCATGGTCAGAAAGTTTAGGGGACCCAACTGTGGGCACGGCGCATAAGTGGCTTTGTGGGTTTTTTATACTTAATCCTCTCAAAGAGCCTAAAAAGCAGGTGATGTTCTGTGTGCTTTTTACAGATGAAGAAACTAGAGAAAAGTTAACACATTCAGGATGAGGCTACAGTTCCCGTGTCTTGGTGCCAGATGGCTCTGAACCACTGGTGGTGCATGCATCAGGGGATAGTCACACATGTACCACCGGTGGCTGAAGATGTTGGGAATGTGTTAGGGCACTGATGCCCATAAGCAGGGTGTAAATCACTAATACCTTAAAACACCTCTCAGATCTTTTGAATCAAAATCTGAGTATAAACCAGGTGTGATGGCACACACCAGTAATCCCAGCACTGAGGATGCTGAACCAGGAGCATCGCTAGGAGTTCAAGGTTGGCCTGTACTACAAAATGAGACCGTCTCAAAACACACACACACACACACACACACACACACACACACCACACCCCACACCCCCGAGTGTAAAGGCGTATCCATTAACGACTGCACAAAATGCTGTGTAAGAAACCCATTCGAGCCCCCAAACTGAGTGACTTCGAACAGGAACCTGCTGTTCTCCTGGAAGTGGAGGCTGCTGGGTGCCAACCCCAGCGACAGTTATTCTGCTCTGCCAGGTGGCCTTGCCCGGACACCTGCTGAGCATGCAAAGGCAGCCACACACAAGAGGACCAGCCCAGTGCCACAAGATCTCTTCCAGTCTTGGTGCCTCTTATCTGCTGACATTTTCTTGGCCAAAACAAGTCACACAGTTCAATGTGAGGGGCAGAAAAAAGTGCTTTACCTCTTGATAGACTTTGATGCATTTTCTTTTTCTGTTGTTTGGTCTACTTAATTATGCTGCTATGATAATTGATTTCAGCTGCTCTTCATTAGTTCTCTCATTGCCTCTGATATTCTGGAGGCTGTCTGGTTAGGTAGAGACCATATTTTCAATTGCTCCATCTTCTCAGTGAATTAAGTGTTTTTGTCATTATGTGGTGGCCTCCTCATTCAATCATGGTGCTCTTATCTTGGACCTATTGTTATCACGCGAAAGAGCCTGGAATAAGGTATCTGATAGATACCAAGCAAAAGAAACTTGGTGCTCACTTGGCCGCCTTTAACCCACTATCCCTTAGATGGAGCTCAGAACCTTGCACTTGTGAAGCAGGTGCGGCGCCACTGAGCTAAATCCCCAGCCCTTAATCTTCTGATTTTGATGCTTTCACTAAAGGTATTTGCAGAACAGATCTTCCAAACGGCGTGAAACTTTGACATAGCTTTGTCTAGACATAAAACTGTAGGCCCATTGTTTTTTCCTTCAATACCTAAGTGTTTATAGAGATCTCTATAAATATATAAATCATTTATTTAAAAAAAATGGATCCTGGGCCGGGGATTTAGCTCAATGATTTCACCGCCTGCTGTGCAAGCGCAAAGACCCGAGTTTGATCCCCAGTACCAAAAAATTAAAAATTAAAAATTAAAAAAAAAAGAAAAACGGATCCTAAATGTTTTACAATTTGCTTTCTAAAATTGTAACATCTTAAATATCTCAGAGGTTGTGAGCACATACTTATTTTGTTGTTTTATTTTAAACACGTACAATGTTCTATTGTGTGCCTCTAATTTATCCTACCCCTTGTTATTTTTTATTTATTTATTTATTTTTGTTGCTGGGGTGGAAGTGGAACTGAGGACTTCACATGTTAGGCAGGACCCCTACCGCTGAGCCACACCCCCACCCCTCTCCCACCTCTTACTAGTGGACATTTAAATTGCTTTCAACTCTTCTATTACCATATTGTAATAGTCATCCTTGTGCATATGTACATGTGGGCACTTCTGTATCCTAAATTCTAAGAAGTAGAATTGCTGGGTTGAAAGTATGCACTTACAATTTCTTTGATACATATTGTCAAATTGCTTTGCCTTTCCATTGATGGAAAATGAGAAGCTTCTGGCACTTGTGACAGAATATCTGAGATACACAACTTATAAGGAGGAAAGCTTTATTTAAGCTTGTGGTTTCAGAAGTCTCAGTCCATGGTCACTTGGCTCTGTTGATTTGGGGCTGTGGTGAGGCTGAGCATCATGCTGGAAGCACTGGGCAGAGGAAACTTCTCATCTCATGTCAGCCTAGAGGCAGAGCGACAGGCGATGGAGGGGCAGGGTTCCAGTGCTCCTTCGAGGCCATCCCCCACTAACCTCACTTTCTCCACCTGGGCCCACCTCATAAAGGTTCCACCACCTCCTAATAAGGCCACGGGCTGGGAACCAAACCTTCAACACAGGCCTTTAGAACACATCCAAGTCATGGCACTCTCTTTTGGAAAAACAGATCTGTTTTTCCACAGAAAATTACAACAAGGCTCTTTCTATCTTCTAGATCATAAAGGAAAACATACAACTCTTATTGATAAATACAGGAAACACCCTAAACTGCACAACCATGTGTCAAAGCTTCGCCGTTTCTACCACATTGAGTATTTCTTACTGCCAGATGATGAAGAACCTAAAAGAGTTGATGTCGTGGTGTTTCCAGGACTGGCCAGGGTGTTCCTGGAGTCAGGAATAAAGGTGTGTGGGGTACATGCATGTGTGCATGTGTGTGTATGCTGCCTTGCATGCAGCGTGGTGCTCAACACTCAATGGGCTCCTCATCAGCCTGTGGTGAGTGTAAGTGTCTCCTGGCACTTGCTAGACCTGCACATGCTGGAGCCACCCCAGGCCTCCTGAGTGAGAATCTGCAGTGACCTAAGAATACCAAGCACGTGGCTTTTTCTTTAGATACTTTTAATCAGTAATTTGCCTGGTATCTCAAAAGTTGTGGCAGCTCTTGAAATTCCCTTCCTGTGTGTGTGTGTGTATGAGTGTGTAAGTGCAGCTTACTCACACGTGCACACTCCTGCCGGTGCTTTGGCTTGGGTCAGAGGTAATCACAGAGGACGTGACATGTGGTTATCTGCTTTGATGTTACATATTTTGTCCAAGGAACGCAGAGCCAGGCAGAGGCCAGTCCATACTGCACCGTTTCCCGCTGTGGGTTTGGAGCCAGGTGAGAGGCAGGTGGAGGGCAGCAGTGACGGGCCAGCTCGGTGGGCGGTATCCAGCTCTGCCCACTGCTCCCACCCCCATCTTCCCGTAGGTGAAGTCTCTGTGTGTTGTTCTACACAGACTGTGAAGCCGTGGTGTGAAGATGACAAACTCTGGGTGTCATGGAGCCAGACTTTTAATGTCAATGTGACAAAGGAATTATTAAAGAAATTGAATTTCCACAAGATCACCTTGAGGATCTGGGACACCAAGGACAAGATTTCAAAAAAATTCAGTTACTATCATCCATTGAAGACTCTTTCAGATGACCTGGGCTCATTTGGTAAGTCATATTGTTTTGGTTTGTCGTAGGTTTTTTGTTTTATCATGGTTTTATGTGAAATGTTTCTGGAGATTTATAATTTCTCACCACAGGGTGACCATCTTAAACCAAAAATCTGCAGTTTGAAATGCTCCAAAACTTGAATCTTTTTGAGCACCCACCTAACCCCACAAGTAGAAATCACCACACTTGACCTTCTGTGATAGGCCATAGTCACAACTCAGGCACACTGAAAATGCTGTGTAAAATAACCTTCCGGCTATGTGTATCTAAGGGATATATTCGACATGAAAGAATCTCATGTACCTCTGATCTCCAAGGTATCCCAATTTGTATGTGCAAATATTCCAAAATCTGAAAAAAATCCTAAATCCCTACCTTTTCAGAGTAGGAATACTCAACCTGTAGTGTCAGAATCAAGGCCAGTGTTCCTTTGTATCCTTTATCTAATTTATATGATGTGCATGCTAGTTTCTGCTTTGGTGGCATGCTGTTTCTCCAGGACAGGCTTGAGGTATCAGGAAGCGGCCCCTGCCCCAGGGCCAGTTGTAGTATTGGTGGGCAGTGAATGAGGCCACCCTTCGGGACCTCTTGTCACAGAGTAGCAGCTCTGTCATGGGTACACACCACTGGCCTGTCTCCTACTCTAGTACAGTGGGCCCTCAAGTTACCACCGGCCTCACATATGAACAACTTGGGTTACAACTGGAATTTTAGTTTTAACTTACAACCAAAGTCTTGAGTTATGACCCAAGTTCTGGTCTTTCCTATGTGGGGTTAATTGAGAAATCCTGGGCCAGTGTCTCTGTAAGGACACTGAGATCTTTCTGGAAGAAAATGTGACCTAAAGTTATACAGGAGAGAGACTTTGAAGGCTGTGTAGAGGAGCCTGAGCCTTCATTTGACCCTGAGGTTGATGACACTGTCACTATAGCAGACTCCATAGGCTTGCAGGTAGACAGTGGTGATGCTGAGGAACTGGTGGAGGAACATGCAGAGGAACTGTCCACAGAGGAACTTCAGCAACTTCTGGCTGAGCAACAGAATGGCAGCTGAGGAGCTTTCTGAAGAGGAGGGAGAGTATTAACAATCAGTACAGCAAAGTTCTTCTGAAATAAAAGGAAATCCTGAAAAATGGACAGTGCCACAAACATTTATAGAGAAGACTCAGCCAGACAAAGAAAAAGCCATTCGTTGCAGTAACTTGTTTAATGACAGTGTCATGTCATACTATAGAACAATGTTAAAGAAAAGACAGAAACAGACAACCTTACACCAGTTTTTAGTTCTGAAAAGGTTGAGACCTAGTGAGCCAGAAGCAGGTCCTAGTGGGCTACAGACTCTCCCAAAGAGAGAAAGGACATCAGAGAGCCAGCTTCCTGATGTTCTTATGGAAGGGGACTCTCCTTCCCAACAATAACCACCTTCCATTTCATCCTCCCTTCCTGCAAGCCAAAGATGGCAACTTGAATGGTGAGTACAGTATGAAATTGTTGTTGCTGGTAAACTAAGCACATTTTATAACTTTTTGGTGAATACACTAGGAAGATTATTGGTGTTTCTGGTAAATAACACACATTATACAACCCTTTTTTATTATGAAAAGATTAAGGAGTGTTTTGGGAGGTTCAGAAAGCATTATGGATATTTCCATTATTTCTTATGGGAAAAATAGTCTTGACTTACAACCATGTTAAGTTACAACTAGCTCTCTCGAGCTAATTGAGTTTGTAGGTCAAGGGTCTACTGTATATTGTACATTCACTGAAAAAAAAATTAGAGGATACCAAGAAACAAAAGAGAAAGTTTGGCTGAGGTGTAGCTTAGTGGTAGATCTCATTCTGAGTCCAACGAGGCCCTGGTTGCATCCCCAGTGCGCCTCCCCCGCAAAAGAGAGAAAATTTTAAAATCCTACTTCACCCCAAGATAACCATGTTAACATTTCCATGGGCCTCCTTTAAACTTTTATGGGTGGTGCATATGTCAGTGTCAGAATTTCCTGTGCTCTCCCGAGGGAGCAAGCTGGGAGGGCTGGAGAGACCCAGGCTTTGAAGTCACTCGGCAGAATCTGATCTCTTCCATCTTGTAGTAGCTGTTGACCTCGGGCAAGTTCCTGAACATCCACTTGTCTGAAAAGGCAGAAATAAAGAGTCCTAACCCACAGGCATCCTGCAGGGCAGAATGGTCGGGGTGGCCCACTGATGCCACAATGGGATGGCGGGTATTGTCCGCAAGAGAATTTTTAAACTAAAATAAGATGCTACTGATTAACTGATGCTGTGGCATAATTGTATGATGCCTTCTGATGTTTAGAAACATAGAAAGTAAGAGACGTGCATATTAGAATTGCTGAAGTGTGGTACTGTTATTTTTGCTTCCAGACAAGTAGAATTATTCCCACTTTACAGTGAGCAAACAAATTGGAAGTTGCCAAAAATCCAGAGGCAGCAGCAGATCCTATCCCAGTTTTGCATGACTGGGACATTTGAATTTCTCCAGTTTTCCTGCCTTCCCTTGACATTACAGGCTTGGGACTTCCAGTTTTTAAGCCTCCCTCGATGTTCCTGGCAGTACTAACATTTTGGGCCAGGCAGTTCCTCACTGTGGGGCTTTCCCTGTGGGTAATAGGATGCAGAGCAGCATCCTGGGTCTCTACTCACTAGACAACAGTGGTAGCTTCCCAGTGTGCCCAGCAAAAATTCCTTCAGACGTTGCCAGATGTCCCCTGGGGGCCCAAATCACCCTTAGCTAGTTGAGTATGGTGGTGCACACATATAATACCAGCACCTGGGTGGCTAAGGCAAGAGGATCGCAAGTTTGAGTCCAGACTGGGCAGGTTCACAACTTAATGAGACCCTGTCTCAAAATAAAAAGGGGTTGGGGATGTAGCTCAGGAAGGAGTGGCCTGGGTGACCCCCTAGCTAGAGACAAGGACCTCTGTGTGTAGCCCTGGCTTTGCTAAGAAACAGCTCTCTGACCACAGGAAAGCTACTGAAGTTTCAGATTCCTCATCTGTAAAATGGGGTAATGACATTGTTTCCCTTGAAATGAAGTGCCATGATTCAGTGCAACAACATCCAGCAGGTGCTAGATCATCTTATTTTGGAGAGCCATTGCCAATCAAGGTTTGAGAGCCTCACCCCAAAATATACATTGTTACTCTGTTGAGTTCCCCAGTATTTGGGGACAGTTTCATGTTCTACAACTCCAGCAGGGCAGGGACCTTATCTATCTTATCTATCGATCTGTGTCTACCGAGAAGCAAGTGATTGCCCCACATAGTACTCAATAAATAGTTTTAATTGATTGAATCAATGCTCTTTCTTCTGCATTCTAGAGGAAGTGAGACGTTTGGTTTTGAATCAGAGAGAATTATCTAAACTAGGCCTTGAAAAAGCTAACGTTGTCAGGGAGGAGTGGAATGAGGAGTCTCTACCAGAAAAACAAGAAAAGGCAGAAAAAAGTCCAAAGTCTTTGCCGGGTGAGTAGAGATGACTTTATGGACAAGCTGCATGTGGCAAAGCCCAGGTGGAGAGAGTGGTGAGCAGGGCTGAGGTGCCGTGCACATGCACTGGAGCCTTTTCTGTGTATCAGCACCAACTGCTGGGGAGGGGTCACCTGCTGCACCCACTGAAGGGTGCACTCTTTGTTATTGATTCTTTTTCTTTAGTTTCACTGTTTTTGTGGCTTACAAAAAAGCTTCTCTGACTCTAGAAGTTATATGTGTAGATTTTAAGAAAATCCAGTGAAGGAAAAATACAAGAAAAGCAGGGGGGAAAATCTATAATTCCATTATTAACTGCAATCAGTGTAACATTTTGGTTTTCATATAGCACATGTCTTTGTTTTGGTTCTAGAATTTTTATTTTGTACATAGACAAGGTTATCTTGGATGTACGCAGTGCTCCTGTGTTCTGAGATTGTAAATATGTCACCACATGTATTTCCCTATTTCCTTAAACACTTTCCCTAAACTCCATTTGTGAGAACTACATAGGATTTCATCTGCAGATAAGGCTGGAGTTTGCTTAACTATTCCCTACAGTTGGGAACTTGGGAATCTTAGGAGCATTTTCAGTATTTTGTAATATGAACAGTGCTGAAGTGGACAATTTAATATATAATTGACTTTTTTCTTCTTTTTCCTCTGTGGGAGTAAGAGGCTTCCTCTTGTCTCCATTTGTCCAAATATTTAGAATTCATTTGGTGTGTACATTTATCGTTTATTTGCTCAGTTATGATTAACAAACCCCATTTACTATATGCTTCCCATATCCCAAGCATTCTCCCTGCAGACAGGCATTACAGGAATGTGTCAGAGGCCCTCATTTCCTAGTCAACCAGGATGGAACAAGTTGGATAACATTTGCTAATATTATTTGGTTCTCACCAAGCAGAGCTTGAAACTTCTTCCAGGAACAGTGAGGAATATGAAAAGTCACTCAAACCAGATGATCTTCCCACAGTTCGGTAAGGGATGGAACCATGTTATTTTGAGGGACAGGAATAGAGGCCCTTACTGTGAGTCATGTACACTTTGTGGTAATTCTGGCCAAGTTGGGACACATACAATCCAAACAAAATTAAAGGTACAACACAAGAAAGGAAAGTTTGTGTATGACCACATGCATCAGGTGCCATGTGTTCTGTGTGCAGCATTTTATCTCATTTGATCCTCATGATCATCATTTTTCAAGGTGGTATTACTCTCTCCATTTTCTACACAAGATGACTGGGTGGTTCAATGATTTGTGTAATGTGGAGGTCCGCAGTGTTGACTACCAATTAGTGCAGGCTGTAAAGAGTTAACCTCGCAATTGGTTTGTTTACAGAAGTGAGTCTGGCCAAAGCCTACATTCTGAGGTCAGAGTAACTTGCATCCAAATTCCATTCCCACAACTAAAACCTTAATAGAAGGACAAGGTTCTAATTACAACCCTGTATTTTGTCTATTCTGTTCCTAATTTGAAAATGCTTTGTCTGTATTAGTTTCCATAGAAACCACACAACTGCACATCTTTGCACATAGTCTTGCCCTTGCACGTAGCTTGCCTTTACCCCAATTGATTCCTAATAAAAATAAGAGGATTGGATGGATCAATGCCTTTGCTAATTAAGCAGCATTGGCCATCCTGGCTCCCTGGCTTCTTTGTCTCTTAATTCTGTTTTTTAGTTTTTCCCCCTCCTCAGGCTTGCACCGTAGCACCGAGCAGGAGATCAGAACCTACTGCAGAGCTCTCTGATAGTGCAAAATCATAAAAGTAGAATTTTTGGTTAAGCTAGATCTTCAGACTCCTGAGTCTGGCCCTTCCTGAGTGGGTTCATTACTTTTTAGGGCCTCTTGTGGCCTAAGAAGGGCCTGGAAAAGGGGCTCCTTGAATGCTATGGGGACTAGAGGGAGAATGGAAGCCCAGCTTCTGGCTTGAGAGATGCAATAAGAAGAACCAAGAAGAACCAAGAGCACAGGCCATTATATAATCTTAATTTTTAAAAAAATTGGGTCTCGGGCTGGTGATTTAGCTCAGTGGTACCACTGCCTCCCTTGCAAGCAAAAGGTCCATAGTTCGAGCCCTGGTACCCAAAAAAAGCCCCAATTAAATAAAATAAATAAAAATTGGATCTCCTTGTATTACAGGCTGGGATGCAGCCATCCTCCTGTCTCAGCCTCCCAGATAGCTGAGACCACAGGCATGGGCCATATGCCCAGGGAACAATCTTGATTTTTAAAAACTGTTTTTGCATTGAACTTATAAATTAATTGATCATTTTTCCATTGTTAGGTTACATAAACCATGATCATAACTCTTTCCCTTAATTCAGACCTTCCTTTGTATCCTTTACTGGAGTTCAATTTTTTTCCCATAGATCCTGTGTGTAACTCTTATTAGTGATTTCCTAAATGTTTTATAGCTTTAGTTATTTTATAAGACCATATTGCTTTCCATTAAATTTTCTAATTGGTTTGAACCTTGATGGTACAAGTGTGGCCTGTAGACCAATGATATTTGCATTGCCACAGAAAGTATTAGAAATACAGAATCTCAGGCTTCTGAACCATAACCTGTATTTTATTTGGCAAGAGCCTTTGGTGATTCATATGCATGCTGAAATTTGAGAAGTCTTGGGTTAGAGGAATACAATACCATTTTTAAACTCTGCTCTTAATCCAGTAAATAGACTCTCAGATTTGGCCTCTGATTTTTTTTTTTTAATCTTCATTAAATTTTCTCTTTGTGGATTTTCTAGACAAAGTACTTCAAGAGCAGCAGCTATGTCTTTTATGGGGACAACCATGATGGAGATCAAGGAATTAATTGACAAAACATCATTTAGCAGCTTGAACACATTAGAGAGGCTAAGATCTCAAAGTAAGTTAGGATGAGATTTTGAAATTTTATAACTAGACTTGGAAAATTATGAAATATTTCAAATTCAGATACTTCAATGTGATGTTTTGATATCTAACCAAATGATAATTGCTGTGTTTCATGCACTTTCAATTTCCCAGTTTTCCCAAATTTCAATTTCTCTGATTGTCACCATCAATGCATCATCTACCCATCCATCTACCCACTCGTCTATCCATCTCCATATCCATCCATCCATCTATCCCTATTCATCCACCTATCCATCCATCCATTTGCCATCATCCACATATCCATCCCCCCATGTATCTATCTGTCCTCATACCTGTCCTTGTCTGAACCCATCCACTCATCCACCCATGTAACTAACTATCCATTTTCATATCATCTCAGTCCATCCATTCACCCACTCATCCCCTTATCCACCCACTATCACCTACCCATTTAGATACCCATCCCCATATCCATCCATTTCATCTTCTGTTCAATCACCCTCAGCATCCTATTCACCCACTTTATATATCCCATCCCATCCCACTCCACCAGTGTTTTTGTGCTCCTGATCCATGTTTGGTGCCCTTCCCCAAGGAAAGGCCCCCATGAAAATCTCTAATGTCTAATGCCAACTCCAAATAAAGAATTACAGTTCTATCTTATGGATGCAGTGATGGGGATAGGTGTGTTGCCAATCAGCCAAGAGTGGTTCTGCTCAATTCAGATGGAAATTATGAATTGGCAAAGTGCAGCTCTCCTAGCAGTTCTCATGTCACCAGATGATACCAGGTAATGCCGGAAGCCAACAGTTGACACAGCCAGCTGCTGGTCTTTGTCACTGCTGGCCATCACTATCTGACACTGGCTTGTGCTGGACACTGTAGGTGGGCTCTACTGGGTCCTGGTCTGTGCTGCAGGTCCTCATTGGCTGCTGGTCCCTGGAGCTCATTGGTGTTTAGAGCTCTGCGTGTTTATTGCTCTTTCTTTGGAAACAACTATTCTGTCCATACTACTCAAGATTTAAAAATCCCAAATAGATTGGGTGCGTGGTATGTCAGGAAGCATAAAAAGGTAGAGATTGTGGAAAGACTTTCCTTGAAAAATAAGAAACCATTTGCTTCTGGTAAAGGACACAGCACCCCATATTGTGGGACCTGCTCGTGCAGAAACACGTAATCTTAGCCGCAGGCATAAGCCAGAAAGGAGCATGCGATACAAGACACTGAAAGTCAAAGGAAAAGCTACAGAGCCCTGCGTGGGATGATTGTGATGTGCACACAACTGACAACACATCATTGTCCACAGCTGTGAAAATGAAGCCTGCAGAGCAAAACACAATTTCAAAATCAACAGAAAAATTAGCAAAGAAAGTCTAATAGGCAAATCACATAAGAGTGGGGCTGGGGCGTCTATGAAATCCCACTCAGCTTCATGAGGCATCGGGAACTCAAGTCAGGCTCATTGAACAAGGACCCTTAGCACCGCTGGAACGGGGTGATGAAGTCAAGCCAGAGGTGGCTGCTAGCTACCTCTCCTTTCTGCCTCATGCTTTGGTGATTTTAAGAAATCCTTCGTCGCCCACATTGCAGTTTCCTAGGTGTTTGTCTAAGGATTTGGGAGGTTTTGTTTTCTACCTCTGGTCTGGAATTCGTTTTGTAGATGCACAGTGTAGCCTGCTAGTTTTGTTTGCTAGGAATACACAGTCCAGGTGACTCTGCCTCTCCCACGGCTCTGTGCACACTGGGGTCTGTCCCCTCACCTTCAGGCCATTGAAGCAGTATCTCACACTGTCTCACTTGGCCACTGGTCAGAAGGGGTAGAACTCGTTCTGGGACTTCGATGGTGCAGCTCCAAAGCCCAAACCTCAGCCTCACTTGTGCGTGCGAACTGATTGGAGGAGAACTTTGCATGCGCCGTACCATGGTGTGTCATGGCAACCTCAGGCCTTTCTGCTTGTTCTCTGGTAGCAGCTGTGGGGGTGAGGGCACCCCTCCTCCAGACCTGAGTAGAATTGGCAGCTGCTCTGCCCTCCGTATGTACCCACCCCTTCCAGTTGCTGGAAGAGGTACCAGGACAAAGGACAAGCCTTGCCTTCCAGAAGCTTCTGGAGTCTTCTAGAACCTCTGTAGCACGTGTGCGTGTGTGCGTCCATGCATGCACTCACATATGGCAGTTCAAGACAATCACTTAACATTTCTTTCCTTTCTCTGATGTCACAGTTAGAGGAAGAGATTTCGAAATCAAAAAGAAAAGCCACAAGAGAATGAAGAAGCCTCCAGCCATGAAGGACGGAGACACTAAGGTGTCGGGCTGCTGGAGGCCAAGTATCTTCTGCATCCAACTGGCAGTGACACCACTCCTTGCAGGTAGCTAAACCTATTCCCAACAGGTGTTGGTTGTCTTGTCGTGTGTGTCTAGAATTCCACACACGGGACACTCGTGGTGACCAAGCTCCTGCCCTGTATCACTCATTTCAGCCTCACCCCAAGAAAGTTGGGGTAAATGTCTGCACTGTACAGAGGAGGAAACAGGCCCAGAGAGGTTAAGTACGTTGTCCAAGATCACAGAGCTAGGAAGTATGAAGCCTGATTTTGAACCTAGGTTTGATTCCAAAGTCCAAGGAAACTTGTGAGAATAGTAAATATCATGACTTTATTTGCTAAATGAGATGCTGCTCTTTGTAAATAGTTCTTGCAAAGACATTTAGTGAAGAGAATTGGGAAAGGAACCAGTTTTTACTGAGTGTGTATTAACTGCCAGCACGTTAGATGTGTCACGTTGCTTCTCATGACAACTCACCCCCTCACTGACCCTGTGGTGCTGCTGGCAGAGCGGTTGTCATTGCTGGCGTCTTTTTCAGTGAGGAGAAAAAAACACTCAGGTCAAGTGACTTCTCCAGGGCCACACTGCTCAGGCAGAACAAGGATTTGATTCTTTTGTGTTTTTTAAAAAGACTTAGCACACACACACAAAAAGATTTATCACAATTTATAAACTAGGTTTTCTACATTGTGGTAAAAATAGATATTTATTATATTATGTATTTTGAGTATGGAAAGCTCAGAATGTATGTTGGGTAAAATTATGTGACTTTGTTTTTTAAAAACAGAATTATGAAAGAGACTGCTACTGGTCTTTTTTTGACAATTCTAGGGATTGAACCCAAGGAACTCTACCACTGAGCTCCATCCCTAACTTTTAAATTTTTTTTCCCCTTAAGTTTATTGGTACATTTTAGGTATAAAATACAGTTGCATTCATCATTGGGATCTTGTACCTCTACATGATGTATCTTGGTTCTTATTTTTTCCCCTTCCCCTGCCCACCCTTCCCTATTTGCAAAGACTTTGTTTCCATGTTTTTTCCTTTTCTCATATTTTTTTCCCTTTCTTTCCTTTCCCCTACCCCTCCCACTTCCCCTACTCCTTTAGATCTTTTCTTCCTATTACACAATATCTATTATGCATTTTTTAAATTACAATATCAAAATTTAGAGGACATTACCACAGATTTTACAGAATTTAAAAGAATATAGAACCTAGCTTTTAAATTTTGATTTTGAAACACAGTGGCCCAGTAGCTCAGGCTGGCTTCAAACTTGAGATCCTCCTGCCTCAGCCTTCTAAGTAGATGGAATTACAGGCATTTGGCACCACATCCTCCTTCTTTCCCTTATTCTTCCTTCTCCTCTGCCTCCTTCTCCAGTTCCTCCTCCCTCTTCTTTTCCCCTTCTTCCTCTTGCTCCCCACTTCTCTCTTTCTCTCTCTCTTTTTTTTTTTTTTTGGTACCGGGGATTGAACGCAGGTCCTTGTACTTGTGAGGCAGGTGGCAGAACCACTGAGCTAAATCCCCGGCCCCGCCCTTCTCTCTTTTTTAAGAGAAAGTTCAAGCCTTGTACCAGCTGTCCTCCAGGATCTCGGCTGAGATAAAACCACCCCACACAATGGTAGAAAACAAAACTTCATCAGATTAAACCCCGGAGCTGTCTGGACACTCATTGTCCTCATAGCTCTTAGGGTGATGTTGATGTATTTTAAGAAAATATTGGGGCTGGGGATTTAGCTCAGTGGTTCCACTGCCTGCCTCGCAAACGGAAGGTCCTGAGTTCGATTAAAAAAAAAAAGAAAATACTAACCTTTTAGGATTTTTTTTTCCTCCCCAGAGCTGAGGCTTGAACCCAGGGGCTTCTCTGCCATTGAGCCCCACCCCACCTTAATTTGCATTGTTACATGTGGTTTGGAAACCAGCTGCACCGTCTTATAGCTTCCCACTCTGCGAGAGGAGAACCTGGGCCAGTGTGTGGAGCTCTGGAGCCTGTCCGGCCCCTTACCCCAGGCAGATGCTGCCTGAGTCCACAGGGCAGTTGTGACCTCCAGTAGGGACACTCGTGTGACTGCCCCTGTGGAATTGGGCAGACTTGACTCTTTTGTTTTGCTGGGAGAGAAGGAGAAGCTCAGGTCGTCTTGTCCTGCAAAACACAACAGTCCCTGAGGTGAAGACACCACGACATGGCCAGGCCTCCCCTTCCTGTAGCCTGTCCTGCCGTGGCCATGCCAAGTGGCAGTTAACGCAAGAGCTGTGGTGACAAGTGGCCTTCTCATCCTGGCTCAGACGCTTACAGCCAGTTACGCCTTTCACGAAGTGGGGGTGACAGTTTCCACCTCAGAGCCCGTCTCAATCCCCAGGGGAGAGCATGGTGTCCCCTCCTTAGCATGAACCCTTGCGCACAGTAGGACCCTGAGGGGTGGCCAGTGTGGAGGTGGCAGCTGCTTCTCCCAGCTGTTGGGTGCCGAAGCAGGGTGCTGAGCCTTCAGCAAGGGAAACGGAAAGATGACTGCTTCCTTATATCCACAGTGTGGTGTGTGGTCATCCATTGGAACAGCTGGGACTCCCAGGGCCAATTGTGTGCCTGTTTGTTCAGAAATGGCAGCACGGGATTATCTGTTCAAAGCCAGCATAATTGTTTTTGGTAAACATCTCCCACTTCCAATTAGGCCATATTGTTTATACAGCTTTTTTCTTTTCTTGTGGTACCAGGCACTGAAGCCAGGGCCTCAACACGGAGCTATATCCTTGGGTCTAGTGCCTCTCTCCCTCCCCCTCCCCCTCCCCCTCCCCCTCCCCCTCTCTATCTCTATCTCTATCTCTATCTTTGGAGACACAGTCTTCTTAAATCCCTAAGATGCACAGCCTGTGTTCAAACTTCGAATCCTCCTGTCTCAGCCTCTCAGAGTACTGGTTTTATACAACTTTGCAGTGCTACCTGGAAACCAGTACTGTTTTAGCAAGGTTCCATATTTGGAAGCGAACTCTTTAAAAGGAGATGGCATTGCATAGAGGGGCTGAGTTGAGCCCAGCAGAACTGGGCTGGGTGCTGCCAGTACTACAACTTATCAAGCAAGAGACCTCCGACAATCGCTTGCCATCTCTGAGCCTGGGTCCCTCATCTGTAAAGCAGAAGTGACAGCAACCATAGAAGGTTGCTTTAAGGATCAAATGACATTAATGCCCATTGAGGACTGGCAGTTGTAAGTACTCAAACAGTCCCTCCCCAACTTTGTCCACAGCCATGGGGTTCCCAATTTGGTGCCATTTAGTAGGGTGTGGAGGGAGGCACATTCAGTCATAGCTGGAAGTGGGGTGCTGCTCACGTCTAGTGTGAAGCTGCCAAATATCCCACAGTGCAAAGAACAGGTCACCTCTAGAAAGAACAAGCCGACCCCGAATGTCAGGAGTGCTGGGCTGGATTTGTGGCTGACACCTCTGGGTCATCAAGGAGGGGTCTTAATTCACGTTTGTGTGGACATTGCTTCTACCTTGGGCAGTGTCTTCTGTGAAAAGGCTGATGAAGTGATATAACACAAATCCTAATTAGTTGTCCCTTTCATTTGCTTCATGCAAGAGTCACACGGGAGCCGGGAGGCCGCACAGGGCATGTGCCACCTGCGTCACCTTGGCCCGCAACTTGACACACAGCTGCTATTTTCCTTTTCTTTTCTTTAATTAGTTGCAGAATATCCCATCTTATGGACCTTCTATAACTATTTATCCGGTGATTGGGATTGAACCTCAGGCATCACTCGTAACCTTCATTTTACTTCTTTGTTGCTTCATGTTTTTGATACTTAATGAACACATTCACTGTGGGGGACGTGGTACAAATCCATGTCGCGTTTGGTTCTTTTTACTTCCCCTCCCGTCACTTCCCTCCTCTCTTCCCCCATCCCCAGATCTCCTTCCATCTCTGCGCAAGAGCAATTTGGCTTTTATGCGCCCTTGAAATATATTTGCAGGCGCTTTGGAAGGAACAGACCTGGTCTCTCCTGAGCATGTGCTGTGTGGGGCAGTGTCCTTGGTGCCACTCAAGTCCCTGGGTCACGTCACTGTCACCATTTGCCCAAAAGGAAACAGCCTGAAGAGACTGTAGCTTGTCAGATGATGGACAGCCAGATTTGGGATTTGAACTCACATCTCTCTGGCTCGAAAACTTAAGCTGTTTTATTTTTGTTACTTTATATCATTTATTGTCTTTATTTTATTTTTGCCTATCTCAGTATGTCTCTGACTGGGGAATATGGGAACCATTTTTGTAAGAAAAATCCTCTTGGCCTCCTATGCCTTGCATTGCCTCAGCTCACCTGTCTTGTATTTTCCCAGTTGAAACTATTGCTGCACCATCATAGTGGGTGATGGGCCATGTGTGCTTTGGCTCAAACATGCCACTTATTTTTTGTTCAATACCTATGTATTATTTGCTCTTGGGGTGGGGGTGTGTGTGTGTGTGTGTGTGTGTGTGTGTGTGTGTGTGTGTGTGTGTAATGTTGGAGATTTAACCCAGGGAGCACTAACCTACATCCTTTTTGTAAAAAATATTTTTAGACAGAGTCTCTCCAAGTTGCCCAGTCTAACTGGTGATCCTCCTGCTTCAGCCTCCCAAGTAGCTGGATTCCAGGTGTGTGCTACCACACCTTGCACATTATTTGCTCTTGATGGTATTCTGTTCTGTGGTACCTGCCTGCAGCAGCTCTACCATTAGGAGAGCCAGGCCCACTGTCTAATGAGTTGTCCTAGGGCCACATTGGGCCACAGGCACTGGAACGTGGCAAAGGAACTGCATTTTAAATTTTACATCATTCTAATTAAATTCTAGTCACAAATGGCCAGTAGCTACCATAGTGGATGACACAGGTGTGGAAACTGCACCCCAAACTGGTTATATCAGACTGTGGGGTGATACCCACACATCAGCATTCTGTATTGTACTCTGGATGATTCAGGAAATATGTGTATCACTTCTTTTTTTTTTTTGTACTAGGGATTGAACTTGGGACCTTGTGCTTGCGAGGCAGGCGGTTGAACCACTGAGCTAAATCCCCAGCCTCTGTGTATCACTTCTTAAAAGATGATCATCAGGGTTAGATGACAAAAATTCTTAGAGAATTGATGGGATTTCTGTTTGAGAAATTGCATAAATATGCTGGCTATGGGCATTTCCTGATTTTTTTTTTTTTACATTTTCCTTTTTGCTTGGGGTATTATCATGAGCTTGTCTCCAATTACTTTACTTCTCTGTGCCTATCTGGGGTGGTCATGAGTATGGGTCTAATGCTGTGCCCTCCCCAACAGGACAGCAAGCTGTCATGAGCCGTGGCAGTGAGAAGTCCGCCAACATTTTAGATTGCCTTTTGACCTTAAAAACAGAAGTTCCTATCATGACGGAAGAGCAAAAGCAGGACTTAAACCCCATGACCATAAAGATCAAGTGTGCTTCCTGCCTTCCGTCACAACCTGTGCCCATTCAGGAGCTGGAGGTAAGGAGCTGGACCATCTGCATCAAGAGCACTCACCTGACTGCCCCTGGCTGTCATCCCTGATTCTCCTGATGGCCCTGAGTCAGAAATGTCATCACCATCCACACTTTACCATTTAGGATCCCACAGGGAGCCACTGAGACTAGGTGCCGTCAAATCTGAGGTGTCCCGCCACACCACAGTGCTCTACCAACAGAGCTGCAGCCTCTCTTCAGGAGCTGTGGGCTTTCCTGGTACAGTAGCAGTGCCCAGCTATTGAAGCAACCAGGTTCAGTGCTGCTTTTTATCCTGAGTGCCCTCTTCTCCTTCCTGGTTGAATCTCTCTCTGGATTCTGTCTTCCTCTTTATTTGCTCTTTGGTTTTGCTGGAGCACATCCTCTAGTACCTTCTTTGGAAATGGTCAATGGCTTTTCTATCCCCTCCCCACTCTTTGTATGTCTAAAAATATCTCTATTCTATTCTTGCACTTGATGGTTAGTTTAGATGTAGAATTCTAATTTCTTTTTAGTTTTGAAGGCATTGTTCCAGCATCTGTGTTCAGTGTTGAACCTTTGTGTGAACCCTATTTTCTATTCTCTCAAGGCTTGTAGCACCTTTTTGTCTTCTGAAACTGTTTATGTGTCTTAGTGTGAGTATATCCATGGACGTTATACTTTTAGTTTAAACATAGATTCACAGGAAATTGTAAAGATTCACAGGAGGACCTTGTGTCTTTCTCCTGCAGATACAGTGGTTGTTATGTAGCTATAGCACAATATCCAATTGGTCCAACATGTGTGCAGACTTCTCTGCCATTTTATCACGTGTAGATTAATTATCATGACACCTACACATCACATCTATAGAAATAAGCTTTTAGTACAGAAACACCATTCACACCACCCTTTTCTGCCCTTATATCTGCTCATCTCTAAACTAATTGATTTTTCATCTCTATAATTCTGTTCATTTAAGAATGTTATTGTTATGGATTGAATTGCGCTTTTCTTAAAATTAAAAAAAAAAAAAAGGTGTGTTGAATTCCTAACTCCCAGGACCTTGGAATGCAAACTTCTTTGGAAGAAGTGTCTTTACAGAGGTAATCAAGATAAAATAAGGTCACTAGAGTGGGCTGTCATCCAGCATGGTTAGGGAGGCTCACATGCACACAGGGAGGATTAGTGACGACAACCAGGGCACATGTGAAAGCTGGAGTTCAGCTGCTGCAGCAGAGGAATGTCAGAGCTACCAGAAGCTGGAGGGACCTTTGGAGGGAGCATGGCCCTGCCCGCAGCTTAGTTTCTGACTTTTAGACCTTACTCTTGTTCCAAGCCACACTTAAGGCACTTTTGTATGGCAGCCCTGGGAACTTAGATAAATGCAAGAATTTGGTATGTGAGCTTGGGAGATGGGTTTGTTTTTATGTTTTATTTTCACTCAGCATTCTTTCCTTGCTTATAGTTTGATCATGCTTCTTTGTTCACACTGCCTTTTAATTGGTGTTCTTAGAGTATTTATATTTAGTGCAATTGTTGATATATTAGAGCTTAAGTCTGCTGTTTTGATTTTAGTTATTTCTATGTTTTATGGATTACTTGAGCAATTTTTAGACTTATCTATAATATTTCTAACTCTTCTGAGATCAGTATCTTTTTAGTAAACCTATAGGTATGCATATATAACTTGATACAGGGTCAACATTTTACCAGTTTGAGTGAAGTATAGAAAATTTAGTTCACTCCAAATCCCTTTATATTTCCTCATTTACAATTTAGTTTTCTTAAATATTCTATACAGATTTTGATCCACATTAGACAGCATTGTGTGTATGTGTGTGTGTGTGCGTGTGTGTGTGTGTGTGTGTGTGTGTGTACTGGGGATTAAACCCAGGGCCTACATATTGAGCTATGGTCCCCAGCCTTTTGTTGTTGTTGTTGTTAGTACCGGAGATCAAATTCGGGTCCTCGCGCTTGCGCAGCAGGCAGCGAAACCACTGAGCTAAATCCCTGGCCCCGGTCCCCAGCCTTTTACAAGTTTTTTATTTTTGAGACAGGATCTTGCTAAGTGGCTAAACTGCCCAGGCTGGGCTCAAACTTGCAATTCTCCTGCCTCAGCCTCTCAGAGAGCTGGACTTAGAGGTATGCACCACCACACCTAGTTTAGACAGTGTTAAACTTTTTTCTTCATCTGTCAAACAACATCTTGGTAAAGGAAAATGTATTGTCTTTACCCAAAGTTTCACTCTTTTCATTATTCTTTCTTCCCTCTTACTGTTCCAAGATTTCTTCTTTTGTCATTTCTGTTATAAGAACTTTATTTTAGTGTAGAAAATTTTTTTTAGTTTTTCTTTGTCTGAGAATATTGTTATCTTTCCTTCATTTTTAAAAAATTTATATTTTTTATTTTTAAAAGATCCCAAGTTTTAAATAAACTGCTAGCAATATCGTTTTCTTCACTCAAAAGTGCATATTTCTGAGGGCAGAACATACATATGCTTCTTTCCTCCATTTTTGAAAGACAGTTTGGTTGGGTATAGAATTTCACTGTGTGTAGAATTTTTATAGAATAGGATTAATCTTTATAATTTTTTCTCAGTGCTTGAAAACTGTACCACTTTCTTCTGGCTTCTCTGATTTCTGATGAGAAATCTGCTGTCATTGGATTGATGTTTACATATGAGTAAGGTCGCATTTAACTCTTGCAAGCTTTCAAGATTGTTTTTTCTTTTTTCTTTACAAAAGTTTGCCTATGTTGTGTCTTAGAGTGGATTCTTTTTTGTAATCTTGTTTGCTTTCTCAATATGTAGGCTTATTTCTTTCTTTTCTTTTTTTTGGTACCGGGGATCAAGCTCTAAACCTTGTGCTTGCGAGGCAGGTGGTGGACCAACTGAGCTAAATCCCCAGCCAATTTCTTTTGACAAATTGGGTGAGATTTCAGCCACGATTTCTTTGAATATTCTTTCAGGACCACTCTCTTTCTCCTTGTCCTCTGGAACTCCACTGGTATGAATGTTAGTTAGCTGTTCTTCTATTGTCCCACAGGCCCCTCACATTCGCTTGCTATTTTTGGACTTTTTTTCCCCTCTCTGTTGTTCAGTTTGATTCTTTCCTCTATCTTTTCCATTCTGCTCTTCAGCCCCTCCAGTGAGGGTCTTTGTTTTTGTTTTTTCCCATTATTATATTGTTCAGTCCTAAAACTTCCATTTGGTCCTTCCTTATTTTTTTCAGATGCTCACCTTTTTTCATTTGTTTCAGTGTTGCTTTAAAATCCCTGTCAGGTAAGCCAAGACCTATGTCCTTTCAACATTGGTCTGTTCATTTGAGATTTTCCAGGCAGCACAAGTAACTTTAAAAGTATGCCTTGGATTGTGGGTGGGTTGCAGAGAGGAAGTGGAAGCGCCGGTCTAGAATCAGCTCCTGGTGTTGGCCTTGGCCCCACGTGTAAGGCTGGGAGTTTGGAAATTGATGAAAGCCCAGCGAGGAGAGCAAAGCTACAACCTCTCTTCCGACCACCTGGCCTGGAGTGTTAAGTTAGACTGAAGTAGCTTAGTTCGGGGCCGTCTGGCCGTTCTGTTTGACAGACACATCCACTCTGCATCCATTGCTTTGATGAAAGTCAAAGGGGAGAAAGTTCACAGGAAGGAGTACCAAGGTGTCAGAAGAAAAAAACAAATTTCAGAAAAACAGAGATTCTGGTTCTTCAAAGACATTCCCCAAGAAGGTTGCTAAGGAGGGGGGACCTAAAGTTCCATCCAAGAAGTTTGAGGAAAGTGCCACGAAACCTGGGAAAGAGGGTGTGCAACAGTTCAAGAACAAGCAGCAAGGGGACAAAGGACCGAAGAACAAATTCCAGCAGGCGAATAAATTCAACAAGAAGAAAAAATTCCACACAGACAGTAAAAGTAACGAATCAGCATCCAAGAAACCTAAATAGGATGACTTCAAAAAGAAGAAGAAAGAACTAAAGCAAAGCAGACAGCTCAGTGACAAAACCAACTATGACACTGTTGTTCGAGCAAAACAGATTTGGGAGATCTTAAGATTGTGACAGGGCCGGGGATGTAGCTCAGTGGTTTCGCTGCCTGCTGTGCAAGCGCAAGGACCCCAGTTCGATCCCCAGTACAAAAAACAAACAAGAAGAAAAGATTGTGACAAAGAGAAAAAAGGGAAGTTGATGAGTGACTTGCAGAAGTTAATTCAAGGGAAAATTTAAACTGTTGCATTTGGACATGATTCAACTCGTGTGATCCAGTGTTGTATTCAGTATGGTCATGAAGAACAGAGAAAACAGGCTTTTGAAGCATTGCTAGATGATTTGGTTGAATTAAATAAAGCCAAATATTCCAGAAATATTGCTAAGAAATTTCTCATGTATGGAAGCAAACCACAGATTGCAGAGATAATCAAAATTTTAAAGGCCACGCAAGGAAGATGCTGCGGCACGCAGAGGCCTCGGCCATTGTGAAGTACTCAAAGAATGACAAAACCATTTTGGAGCAGAAGAACATGCTGACCGAGGAGCTCTATGGGAACACATTTCAGCTTTACAAGTCTGTAGAACACCCAACTCTGGACAAGGTGTTAGAAGTACAGCCAGAAAAATTAGAGGTTATTATGGATGAAATGAAACAGATTCTAACTCCAATGGCTCAAAAGGAAGCTGTGATTAAGTACTCATTAGTCCTTAAAGTATTCTTGGATTTTTTTTTTACCTATGCAACCCCAAAACTCAGATCAGAACTGATCGAAGCCATCCGTGAGGTGGTGGTATACCTGGCACACACACATGATAGAGCCAAAGTGGCCATGCACTGCTTGTGGCATGGCACACCCAAGGACAGAAAAGTAATTGTGAAAACAATGAAGACTTATGTTGAAAAAGTGGCTAATGAAAAAACAAAAGTGGCTAATAGCCAATGCTCTCACTTGGTTTTACTGGTGGCATTTGATTGTATTGATGATACTAAGCTTGTGAAGCAGATGATCATATCAGAAATTATCAGTTCCTTGTCTAACATAGTA